AACCGATTCGACGATCTCAATATGGGGACCCAGTGATTAATTAATTTTCACGCTATGTGCACAGCATTGTGACGCCATTATCATGAAAACGTCCATATGCCATTTTATCGTCAATTGTGATTTTTCTTTGATTAATATGGACCACAAAATGTACAACATATTCCGTTGACGACCATTGGTGGTAAAACCATATGTTAAACGTAGATTAAGTATACTTCTGCTTTACAAGTTTGGCAAAAAATGAAATTCAAGATTCAAAATACTGAGAACAGTTTTAATAGTCTGAAGCATGTTCAGACGAAGGGAACATACCAAAGTGATGAAGACATTGTGATTAAAACTCATCCTTATGAGTTCAGCATATAACGAAATGTCTGTATACCGAGGAATCGACAGAATATATACATATACAAAACTGAACAGCATCTGCTAACTATAACGTGTTCATAACACCAATAAATTCGCACGTGTATACATCCCACGCGCTTTGCGTGGGCACGTGCCCTCCACATAACTCTCTATTTTTAGACGCTGCCAAAAATTCTGTCGATGACGGTCTAATGATAATATATCGTAAATGTTTACTTAAAAGCTTAGCAACGTAATTTGCAAAAATAATCAACTTTGATAGTTAAATGACAATTTCTACACATATATATCAATATACATACGTTTAATCATTACATTTAAATCGCTTATAAATCAGAGACCCATAAATGTAGACAATGACGTCAGAATTTCGGTAGTAAATAGTGTTATCGCTGACGTCTTAGTAATCATAGTTACATTATAGGTATTCAGGTTTTATTGTTCGTTTCACAATTACACTTAAATAGCAATATCTTTGACGTTATATAGAAAGCGATGTCTTCAATGACTAATAGAAACTGGTAACAGTATTACAAATGTATTAAGCTGCATTATTCCCATAATGTTATCCTTGGGATCTAGAGTCGAACGTCGTTATCTCGAACTCGACGGAACTTTGGACGAAAACTTCGAGATAACGGAGTATCTGATTTGAATGAGTTCATTGAATGTTTTGTGTTTAGATAGGGACCGTTGAAATGCTTCGAATTAAATGGGGTCTTAGAGTTCGAGATATTGAGGTTCGACTGCACTTGTATCATAAAATGTTTGACGGGAATAATAGATATTTTATATTTATCTTTCTTCGTGTAATGTTTGGTTATACAGATGCTTACGCTTTACTTTGAACCTAAAAAAAGAAAAAGAATACACGGTATTGTATGGCTGGTTAGTTTAGCGAGGTTGATATTTTCGCTTTTTCGCGGTACATTAACGTGATTGTGAAAATTTAACACGTGAAGTCATAAGACACGTGTTATATGTCATTTTACATCCAGATTGAAAAATTTGAATTCCTTAAAATACGGTTTATTCGTTTAAAATGAAATTCGCGACAATTTTGGCCGTAAAAAATGATCAGTTCTATGGTATATTACTACATGTAAATTTGTGTTTTGATGTGGCCTTTCTGTAGTTGTCAATTTTTAACTCTCCAACTTTTATCCATTTCTTTAAAAGTATTGCTTTTATTTTCAATGCTTTTTCTTGAAATTTTCCTGACTACAGAATGGATTATTTCTTCGCTACTTTCAACCACAACAGGATGTTTATATTGTCATTTTCAATTTGAACCTTCCGAAGCTTGATTCACTATAACCACTGATGTGTATGTTTTGTAATTTTCGTATAAATCTTTTCATTACATATTTTTTCTGATTGTTAGAAATGAAATAGACCAAGTTAATTTCTAAAAGAAATTTCTAACAATATTTTTAGATATTATCATATGACCATTCTCACATAAACATAACAAAACATTATACAAATATGATGATCCAAATCGCTTCCTTAATCTGATTTCTAATCAGCTAGCAGACAGTTTTAATTTCTCTTAAATTTCATTAACTTTTACTATCTGTATTACATATATTTATATATATACTGTGTTACAACGGGGCCACGGTGGTCGAGGGGTTAAGGCCACTGAGCGGCTTTATCACCAGCCATCACATCCGGGTTGCGGGTTGGAAGCCTTCGTGGGGCAGTTGCTATGTACTGGCCGCAGGTCAGTGGTTTCTCTCTGGGGACTCCTGTTTTCCTCTACCAACCAAACCTGGCCCTCCTTGAATGACCCAGACTGTTGATAGGACGTAAAGCACAATAAACAAACAATCTTCAGAGGTTGCAGCTGATAATGAGGTCTTACCGTTTAACCAATTGACAATCTTGGGTACATTACTTGTGTATATCCTACAGGACCAGACAATTCAACCTCGGCATCTGACCCCGTGACCTCTTGTCTACGCCAAACGTCTCATCTTAAGTAATTCTTAATGACATAGAAAACAAAGAACATTCTCAGACCTAAATGCTAAACAAAGAGCTGGGAAAACCTCCTTACAAACTGCAGACAATACAAAAACAACTCCGACAAACCTCTGTAATGCCTTCAGAAGAACGGCTTTAGTGTGTTTACATGAACATGGTCATATAAATCATAAAGGGATTTTATATATTGTTGTCTTTTTCATCAAATGAGCTTAAGCAGATTCAATACTCATTAATGATTTAAGCAGGACCTGACAAGTAAGCTAAGTGAACTTGAAACTCAACCTCTAAGTGTGAATTTAAACATTTATTTCAGCGGAGTACTTGCTATTGTAACCGTGGTAAATACTAGCCGCAATATAACGGTTGAGCGTCAGACTAGTAACTAGATGTCTCGGGTTCGAATCCTTGCGGAGACATTGGAATCAATAATGACCTCTTCTAAACTATGTCCTCGGTCCCACAATGTACAACATTTAGGTTTATATGAGTTGCGTAAGCTTATACATTTCATGTTACACTAAACACTGGCCATTACTAATCAACACTACTCTTTTCTATCAAACAAGGAGATAACACCCTGAACAGACGGGAAATCCTGTGTGCACTTCACTACCAATAAAAACAAATATTCATATCTTACCGACACACCAAAAACCAGAATTTTGTCAGTCAATAACTGGATTGCCTCTTATATTCTGGAATAACTGCCATAAACACTATCTGAAGATAGGCTGAGACGTCTGTTAAGTCGTCAAAGTTAGGAAACCTGAGTACCTAAAGTTATCTCTGTAGTTACTCCCGACAACATGGGAACATGTAGGCTGAGATCTACCATAGCTCCAATATTGTACTCGTGTGTGGTTGTGAAATGCATTTTTGAACACGAAGACAAATGCCTAATATTTGCATATTGCAGAAGTCGTTCAAATGATGAATACATCTTAAACGAGTCTTTGGCTGGCTATAAAAACAAAATGTATCAAAATGAATCAACGCGAAAAAATAAAACAAATGTACAAGAAAGAAATACTTTTAAAAATGTTTACTCTGAATCTGTTATTTGATTTACTAAATTTTCTACTTAGTAACGATACTGATGCCGGAGAATCTTGTTTAGAAAGTTGTATTTTTATGAACCCATCCTAAAAATAGTTACAGCACTTGAAACAAATATTTATCAGATATATGGAAATTACGGAGGAAATTGTTAACTTTTGAGGCTCCCAATTTAAAATACAGGAAACACGACCTGTTTTATTTCCTTGGCACTGCCGTATGAGTGTTGTTTGCCGAAGAATCGAAAATGATAATACAAGATTCCATGTCTCGGAATAGTAATATATAACAACACGTTCGGTATTTGTTTTGTCGATTTGAAGAATGTAATAATCTATATTTCACATCTTTGTTGAAAACACACCGAGATCAAATTCTCAAAACAAAAGCAAATAGCGTTGTTACCAAGGGTGACAAGTATGCTACCCCCTTTGCCAAATTGCTAATTGCACCACATATTTTGCACAGAAATATATGAGCTTACAGTGTTTCGTTTAATGATAATCGCTCTTGAAGTAAGTATAATATGCGCCTTCATGTGAATATTGCCACTTGAGGTAAGGATTTCAGAAAGCCCGTTGGAATGTCGATACTTCGGACATTATAGAGATTTAATGGCAAGTTACCATTTTCACATATTACCTTAAACTAGAAGGCTGAAAACCCTCCATATGACTATGGATGACTAATGAAGGCTGAAAGAAGGACACAATAATTTGTTATTGTTCACATGAAGGGCGTAACCCATGGGCGAAATACAAAATGCACTTCATACAAAATGGAAAACCAATGCATTTTTTAATACATAAACCACTGTTGAATTTTTTTACATAAAGGGGGCATAACTTCCTTAAACTGGATCGAAATACAAAATTAACGCATCAATAAGAAAAAAGAGCTATTGCATAGTCGGTATCAAATTATTCTTTGTTTTACAGAGAGGGTTCATAACGCTACAGAATGTGGTCGGAATGTAAAAAATACTCATTATGGCACTTCATATTAATTTTTAAGAAAGATAATTGAAAACTAAATGAATGCATAGCTAAACTAATCTTATCCACGGATGGGCGTCCAAACAAAATGAATAGAGTATTCATGGAGGGGAAAATGAAAAAGGAGAGAAAAAAATGTCAAAAGATGATACCTACATGTACTTCAATGTCGCTATAGAATTGAAAGATTTCAAACAGAGTTAGCGTTACCACCCTGTAAGTACGGATAATTGACGATAGACTGGTAGAAAGGTATTAAATATGATTTATGATCACTATCATATTTTTTATTGAGAAACATTCAAAATCCTCATGCCTCGATATCAAAGTAAGTATGCTCGATTGTCGGTAGGATACATACTGATGTCGCTGATGCAGCAGAAGAAACTAACCCTACATTAACATCTGGTCTAAATATACTTTTGAAACTTCTGAAGGATAATCCATGTAAAAATCTCAATTTCTTCTTGGGAAGTTTTTACCGAATCGTTTTTGTAGAACTATAAGAAAAAATATGGCGGTGAGTGAGATAGCGTTATAATGTTGCAAAACTGCATGAATTATAATACTGAATCTTCTATCTTACAGTGGAGTCAGGGCAAGAAACTGCGGTTCCAGTGATGCTTGATGACGAGGAATCCATTGTTCTCTTCACAGACTACGACGATGCAGAGGTAAGCGTGTTGATCGCAGCAAGCTCCTATGAAAATGGCAGTTGAAATTAACACTTATTAAAGTACCTAATATTTCTAGAAATCGCGTAGAATTTTAAATGGTATTAAAATCACAAAAGAGAAAATGTTCTGATTTGAGATGGTACCGTGAAATTTCAAGATATACTAAGATAACTTATATAAGTGAAGTGGAGTTTAGAGAGAGATCTTCATATGTTTGTGTATTTGGAATTTAAAAAAAAAACAATGGTAAGAGGGAGGCAGACTACTTGCGACCCGTCCCTGTAAATTTCGACGTTATGCTGTATTTCCTTGCTATTTGGAAGTTGCTTTGTCTTGATTTTCTAATCTGCATTTTATCATACATATTTTATTTAATTAACATATAATTCTATGACGTATCGCTGTAATTTTGCTCATTTTAGCACACCATAAAGATATGTTTTAGCATTGTGTGATTTACATCAAAGTTGTAACTATCAGGAAAATAGCTTTATATCAAATAAATATCACATATTTACAATTTAATTTATATTTGATATGTGTGATTGTTGAGCTCTACTGTGTCTAAATTTGTATTAAAATATGCTGTTCACTGAAGTTTCTTTTGTACAATCTTTCGAGATTGCTGGTGGTAGATACTGCAGGTGAACTGTTAGTTACAAACTGCATACCACGTTTTCATTCGTTTGAACAGCAGCACAGTTCGGAATACATACATGTACATGACCTTCTTAAATTATTAGATATATCAATTTTACGAAATTTACTGAATGATTGCGCTAGTGTACCTCCCAATCTCTATTTCGACTTTTTCTTATCACTTTGTATTTTTCGCCTCTTTGGTTTAAAATTTAGGCCGTTTGCATCAATGACGAGTCCAAGAAGGACGAAACAGCTATCTGATGCAGTTGAATTCATTGATTGGTTCTACCGTATCTGACTCAAAACTTGCAATGAAAGGTGCTTTTCACTTTCTTTTGTGCAATCTTGGTCAGCATTGGATTTAATAACAAATATAAAAGACAGATGTGAAATTTTCAGTTATATAAAAGCTTTACAAATGGGAACAAGGTTTTTAAAGCAACTAACTGATATCTGATTTGTTAAATCATTTGAGAAATATAGCCTTCATCCATCATACATAACTGAAGAGGTTTGACATCTTATGTAGAGTTCGAAGTGTTACAATACTACTGAACCAGATGAACAGTGATGTGTGCCACAGACGTCTTGACGTCAGTCTTGGCATTCCGTTCATATCAGCATTTCCTGACTCATTGTGCACATTATATACACCAAAGTAAATATACAGAATCACTAGTGATATATGAGGCATACACGATTTGATTTTATGGTCCGTCTCCTTTGCAGATTTAGCCAAGTTTATAAAGTCTCTGAAAGATTCACAAACCTAAGTCTGTCGTGTATCGTAACCATGGTAATACCTGATATTAAAATTGGCAATGAGGTCTTGTCGGATATTTATTTTTTAACAGTAATCAGATTGGTCTTGTTGCTTACCTGTCACCTGTTCCTTATACACATAGGCATTCCTAACGTCAAGCGAACTTCATGGCTTTCATTACCTCATGTGGCCTGAATATGATCAGTACAGCTACAATAATAAGGAAATATTGTTCAAATTATATAGTTGACCTGTAATAAGGAAGAAGCGAACTACTCTCACGGATGATTACTTACGCCCTCCACCCCCACCCCCACCCCAAGTTTTGAATTAACTGACAGGAATGTGGAATATTGAAGATTGGTCTCACTTCTTTCGGTATTGTCCTCTCTTCACTAACCAAAGACAACTCTTTTTTGCTTTCTTTTTTGCCTGAGTGATCGTATTCCTCCAAACATCCAAACATTTATAAATGACTACCATGAGCTAGATGCAGTTACGAATAATTTCATTCTTGAGTTGATTCAGAGATTCATTACTGGTACCAGACGTCTTTGTTTTTTTTTTTTTTTTATCTTAAACAGTATTCGTGACGACTTTAAGACATATTCAAGTGGACTTTTCTTTCATATAAATATGCCTGCCAATTAGAGATGCATGTAAAAACACCTGGTTTTTTCCTCTCATAAAATTCTGAACTAGATAGAGCATTGTCAAATAATGAAGTAAACTGCACATTACAACTGTCAATTCTTTCTAGGATTCGACAATAATGTTTTTTTGTCTGCTATTTACCGCCTCCGGATGTAGCATCCTGTCTATTACCTGTCTACCACCTATAGCTTTGTCTTTCATCTTTAGCTTTATTGTCTACTATCTATGTTCTTTAGCTTTACTGTTCCTGTCTGTCAACATCTACATTGTCTAGCTTTACTGTTCCTGTCTGTCAACCATCTACAGTATCTAGCTTTACTGTTCCTGTCTGTCAACATCTACAGTATCTAGCTTTACTGTTCCTGTCTGTCAACCATCTACAGTATCTAGCTTTACTGTTCCTGTCTGTCAACATCTACATTGTCTAGCTTTACTGTTCCTGTCTGTCAACCATCTACATTGTCTAGCTTTAATGTTCCTGTCTGTCAACCATCTACATTATTTAGCTTTACTGTTCCTGTCTGTCAACCATCTACAGTATTTAGCTTTACTGTTCCTGTCTGTCAACATATACATTGTCAAGCTTTACTGTTCCTGTCTGTCAACATCTACAGTATCTAGCTTTACTGTTCCTGTCTGTCAACCATCTACAGTATCTAGCTTTACTGTTCCTGTCTGTCAACATCTACATTGTCTAGCTTTACTGTTCCTGTCTGTCAAAATCTACATTATTTAGCTTAATTGTTCCTGTACGTCAACCATCTACATTGTCTAGCTTTACTGTTCCTGTCTGTCAACCATCTACAGTATTTAGCTTTACTGTTCCTGTCTGTCAACCATCTACAGTATCTAGCTTTACTGTTCCTGTCTGTCAACCATCTACATTGTCTAGCTTTACTGTTCCTGTCTGTCAACCATCTACAGTATCTAGCTTTACTGTTCCTGTCTGTCAACATCTACAGTATCTAGCTTTACTGTTCCTGTCTGTCAACCATCTACAGTATCTAGCTTTACTGTTCCTGTCTGTCAACCATCTACAGTATCTAGCTTTACTGTTCCTGTCTGTCAACATCTACAGTATCTAGCTTTACTGTTCCTGTCTGTCAACCATTTACAGTATCTAGCTTTACTGTTCCTGTCTGTCAACCATCTACATTGTCTAGCTTTACTGTTCCTGTCTGTCAACCATCTACATTATTTAGCTTTACTGTTCCTGTCTGTCAACCATCTATATTATTTAGCTTTACTGTTCCTGTCTGTCAACCATCTACATTATTTAGCTTTACTGTTCCTGTCTGTCAACCATCTACATTGTCTAGCTTTAATGTTCCTGTCTGTCAACCATCTACAGTATCTAGCTTTACTGTTCCTGTCTGTCAACCATCTACATTATTTAGCTTTACTGTTCCTGTCTGTCAACCATCTACATTATTTAGCTTTACTGTTCCTGTCTGTCAACATCTACATTATTTAGCTTTACTGTTCCTGTCTGTCAACCATCTACATTATTTAGCTTTACTGTTCCTGTCTGTCAACCATCTACATTGTCTAGCTTTACTGTTCCTGTCTGTCAACCATCTACATTATTTAGCTTTACTGTTCCTGTCTGTCAACCATCTACATTATTTAGCTTTACTGTTCCTGTCTGTCAACCATCTACATTATTTAGCTTTACTGTTCCTGTCTGTCAACCATCTACATTATTTAGCTTTACTGTTCCTGTCTGTCAACCATCTACATTATTTAGCTTTACTGTTCCTGTCTGTCAACCATCTACATTATTTAGCTTTACTGTTCCTGTCTGTCAACCATCTACATTATTTAGCTTTACTGTTCCTGTCTGTCAACCATCTACATTATTTAGCTTTACTGTTCCTGTCTGTCAACCATCTACATTGTCTAGCTTTACTGTTCCTGTCTGTCAACCATCTACATTATTTAGCTTTACTGTTCCTGTCTGTCAACCATCTACAGTATTTAGCTTTACTGTTCCTGTCTGTCAACCATCTACATTGTCTAGCTTTACTGTTCCTGTCTGTCAACCATCTACATTATTTAGCTTTACTGTTCCTGTCTGTCAACCATCTACAGTATTTAGCTTTACTGTTCCTGTCTGTCAACCATCTACATTGTCTAGCTTTACTGTTCCTGTCTGTCAACCATCAACCTTGTTTAGCTTAACTGTTCATTGACTTGGCTTTTAAATATCCTATTAAAGTTCTTAAATATCACTATATGGTTTAATAAATAACAGTATTTTTATCGTTCTTTCTAAAGTAAGTACTATGCACCTTTACTATCTACCATTGAATTTTCCTCTGATATTTCACACAATAGTATTCACATATCAAATGGTTAAATAAAAACTTTCTTTGTAACAAATCATAATCGACACATAGTTCTTGTGATTATTATAGGATGACTTAATTCAACGGTATTCACGTGCACACTATTTCTGTCAATGTTTACACATCGGAGATACATTAAAAATTATTTTCAATTTTATTACAATTTATGGAGTTTCATTCTTGACGTTTCAAAATATGGATCATAAAAAAAGTCATATGTCGTTTGTTTACCTGTTGTTCCTGTTGCCGTATACATTGTTCTCATTTGAGAGCCTGACATTACTTACATTGATAGGTAAAGATTTATGAAGTAGAAGACGCTTATTCTTCCCGAACATCAGGTCTAATTATTCATTTTTTTCATGGGCCTCAGCGTAAGCTTTCTTTTGTTAATATTTTGCTGTGTATTTTTAAATGAGGTTGGATTATGATTATGCTGCTAGTATTTTATTGTTGGTTTTTGAGCATATATGTTTTACCTATATAGTATACATTTTTCTTCAACAGGATTGTGACGTTATGTCGAACAAAGACGCCATAGTATTGGTTTTCTCGGTAACAGACAGAAAATCCTATAACTTTGCTGTGGACTGCTTACTTGATCTACGGCAAACACTCAAGTCCAATCAAGTCATAATCCTTGTGGCTAACAAAGCGGACATCGTTAGAGGTCGAGAAATAACTAGTGAAGGTGAAATAGCTCTAAATGTGATATGATTTTGTCGTTTTAAACTCGAAATTAACATATGTATTCATTTAAATGTAACAGTAATGATTTTCATTTCCATTTTTTAAATAATAAAGGATATTATAATGGTACTGTGATATTTTCTGAAAATGTGATTCAATGTTTATATATTTACTCCATAAAATATCTATCTGGTTTATCTACAACCTGTGTAAAAAGTGGTTTTAATGTCAGTTTTTTTTTTCTTTATTTACGCCTGACCGAAACTCATACAATAATGATCTGTACATAACCCGAATTAGTCCAAAGCATGTCCTTTACATTCTAAACATCTTATTCTTCTGTTTGTTAAACATATGTGTCAATAAGAGAGAATTCGTAAGGCTTTAGATTAGTCAATCGTTCCTCCTTAGTACATGATACAATTTGTCTATTGAGAAAAAAACAAGCAACGGTTTCTTTTTATTTAACAGAGGCAAAAGCTACTGCCGAGCAGTACAGATGCAAGTATGTGGAAACGTCGGCATCCCTCAACCATAAAATCGACGAGCTCCTTGTGGGTGTTCTGAAACAAATTCGACTACAGAAAAAGGGGAAAGGAAAGGAAAGCAAATCAGATACTTCAGGCGGCTCGGCTGCTGCTGCTACAGGAGCAAACGCAACCATACCCGACTCTGAAGAATCCAAGCCAGAGGAAACGCAAAGCGAGTCCGTTATCAAGCGATTCTTTAAAGGGTTATTCGGTCGCTTTAGCAAGAAGAAAGATAATGTTGACAACCTTTACAACTGAACGAAATGGTGCTGCCTTGCTGTTATGATATATAAAGAATATGGGGCCAAATCGTGTCTGTTACCGGCGAGATACAGAATAATTATAGCATATGTTAAATATTCAAAGGTACTGCTGTAACGAAACAAAAAATATAAAAAAAAATATAATCAGGGAATATATGGTGTATTTGTATATAAGGATATATATATATTGTTCGGAATTTTCCTGAAATATGCCTCGTTTATAAACATGTTTGCATATCGTTCTGTGCCCTGGTGGTAATATTTGCAGTTTAGTTTCATGTAGTCTCCATCCTGTCGTAAAATTATTTTTATTGTAAACCTGTGACTAAATTGACCATGGAAATATTACATTTTAAAGGTCTTATCGGGGCGATAGTTAAAATCTGTGCAAAGAATTTAAGATGAGAAAGAAACCATTTGGCCCCATACAGGAATCATTGTCCATGCTAACAGCACCAAGGAATAGAGAATAACAAAAAAGGAATATCTAAACGCGTCCGTCCATGAAACTCAATATGCCAATACTATTGAGTTGTATGCCCTAAAACCATACGTGTTTATCATAAAATTTAGGACAGGTATACAGATTGATAAAAACAGAATCAGACAGATAAACCGACTTGATGTTTGGATTTCATAAGATTATCAGAAACAGTAAAATTGTCCATGAAAAAACCGTTCGGTGTATACCGAAAGGCTTTTATTCAGAAACATAAAATGACTGACGGGTTTGTGTTTTTGTTTTTTCGTGTATTGCTGTTTAACAATTTGCGCCAGTAATATTCAAAGGTGTAAAATATTTCTAAAATTTAGGAATAAAAAAAATTGTCGGGAAGAAACCAGTCGGTACACTACTATTGTGATCAAAATACATTTTTATTAATCTCTTTGTTTTTAATTTTATATTGTTTAACCAAGTGCAATGTTTAAAGGACAAAAGCAAAATACGACAATACAAAACCCTCATTTCAAATACATAGTAAATAATGACATGTAAATAATTCTTAAAAACCGTTTAAGTTTCAGACCTTTTTCCGTTTTACGATAGATGTGTAGCTGTTTTGACAACCAAATATATCATTTATGCTAAATGACATACGTCCGTGCCCTGTTCATACAAAATAAGGGTAATGCGCTTTATTTCTAATGGTTTAAGCGACATTTGATTATAGATGTCCCAAGCGACACCTTATTGAATATGATATTTTAATGTTGTGTGAGTTCACAAATCATACTTTCATTTAAGACATTCCTTATCATTAACCATCTTGAATTGAATAAAATATTTTTGCAAGTTCCAACTATCGTCGACTTGATGAAATTTTACAGTTGAGTTTTTAGTTTTTAATGTTCTAAGCAGCATGGGGTTCCATGGCGTACATGTGCGAATATAATTCTAATTTGACTATGGCTTATGTTCTCGATTCACGAATTCCTGGATCGCTGACAGTACAAACAAAAATTTAAGATATTGTAGAAGTTTATTTGGCTTAAAGAGACATTTTATTAAACATTCCATTCTTGACAAAACAATCTTTACATTTCACTTCACACCTAAATCCTCCGAACAGTCAGAAATAAATGCATATTATGTCGACGGTCTACATAGCAAACATAAGTTATTGCAGGGTCAATTGTCTCTTTTCCCAGTGACCTCTTTTTTGCACGTGAATTTAAGGCCTCAATATACAAATATTAGTATGAGATTTCTACTCACAATTGAGAGTAATTGCAAAAGTCGAAAGATATAAAAAAAACAGTTATAGATGTGGTCATTTTTATTTGAAGATAAAATCGTTACACACCAAGTGTTAAGAATGTTTACTTGAATCAAAGGTTTAAAAATGGTACTGATCAGTGCAATAGACCTATTTATACCGCCTAGTCACGCTACTATGAGCGTGACGTCGGCTTCGGATTGTACGTTTCCTATGCAATTGAACATTTTACAAAGCGAGTCAGTTGAGAGTAGGGATATTGTGTATCTACATGTATAATAACATTTTTGGCAGCACAATTCATTCTCTAGTTTTACACAAGAATGTTTCCTGTCATATTTACTAGCATTTCTGTGTACGTCTGTTCAGGAACCTTTTTTCTGGACATGCAAAGGGAACATACATTATCATTAACCAGACAATAGTTGGTGTCGTTTTGAGGAATGTTTGTAGCTTCCTTAATGTTCGAAGCTTCGGGATGGTTTGTGTTATCAGCTTGTCAGCACTTGGCATGTACGAACTGCGATAACCGTTATCTGCTCAGAGCTAGGTAGCCAAACATATAGTGCACATCTGAACGTGGGATCTCTCTCTGTATATCTTAAGGTAGTTTTATGCCACGAACGACTTTTCTCATATTTCATTGTATCTACATTGCCCATGTCAGCCAGTTTTGTGAAATCTTAGATTAAATTTGACATCTTGAATATTATAAAGATTTTTCAACTGAAATCGGAAAAAAATGTTTTGATTTAACAAATTTTATCAAATATTGTGATAAATTATCGGATAAATGATAAAAAAAGTAAAATATATGTTCTAAAATGTGTTGATAAACCAACGTTTAAAATGATTTTATTCGTTTTTGACGAGAAGGCTGTGTTTAATTATGATGTTAATATTGCTCAGAAACAGTCACACTAAATCTGAATATAACTTTGATTTCAGCCATTTTAATTCGTAGTAGATAAAATCCCATCATATCAAGAAAATCATTATCGGCAATAAAATTCAATATGATGAAAAATGATTAACATACCAAAAACATATACGGATATCATGTTCTAATACGGATGTCGGTGATACATGGGTTTTTACTGTATATTTAGAAATATATATGGAAACAGGGCATCAGTTGTATTTTGCTGAAACCAGTCTGTAGCGGGTCGCTTACTTAACATAAAAAGACATTTACTTCCCGAAATTGAATATTTCCATCGGAATCGGCATGTGTTTCGAGCGAGTTACATACGCGATGTTAATCATTTTTTTTAACTAAATATCGCATGGTAAGCATACTCATTTTTATCAAAAGTATAACAAGGCAAATATTGAGATATATACAAAAATAGCATTTTATTTTGAAAAAAAAAATTATTTACAAGTGCAGCCTTACCACATAACAACAAAGGTAGATTAAAAGCAATACGCTTTAGGTATCTGCATGTTTCCGCCATGTTGTAGACAAAACCATCTGGTTATGTTATTATGGTAAACAAACTCTAATTGAAAAGAACAGCACTGCTTGCTGGAAGTTCAAATTATCGCAGATAAGATAAAGAAAGACAACTCGTGCAGGAAGTCCTGTCCCTGCTTGTAAACACATGATTCCTTCCAGTTCATAACCGTAAAACCTGTTTTATCATTGATGAACTCAATGTAGCAATTCCTTGTGTGCGATGTACATGTACATAATCTTTACACTGCCAGACTGGACGTCCATAAGTCTGGTAGGGCTGCAAGATTCCATCGCCCAACAGTCTGAATCACATTCATGGGCATCAGAAGTTGATAGTGCAAAGATGTTGACGACAATGAAGATTATATTGGAACACACGTCTATCACACATGTCATTAGAACGGGTATATATATAGTTCATGTTGCATTTAAAATTATATGCTAAATAATAATGGGTCTATACGCTTTTAAAGATAAATAGACGCTTTAACAACTGGAATGATATAACCTTCCTCGATACCCGAGGAGTTACGATCACTTTCGCTCTCTGCAACCCCGAAACATTTACATTTATGAGAAAAAAAACCTGACCAATCATAGGCTGATACTCTCCGTTTGAAGATAACAAACGAGCAACGCCCAACTTCAAAGCCTTTATGATATACCGTTATGCAACCTCGAGATTCGTCTGATGTACATCAAAGGATCAAACTATTCTTTTCGTTTTATCCACAATGTGTCGCACATGGAACCTTCAAATTTGTCATGATATGTTCCAGGGGTGCATAGAGCGAAAGTGATAAATACTCCTGGAGTATCAATGATGTGATGACATGAAACGAAATGTTTATGTTTGTAGAGAAGACTGGAATATGGTTTCTATGATGATGATATAAATACAAGCTACATTGCCTTCAATGCGGTATATCACACCAACTACTCACTACAAATACCAGATTATGTACATCTATCTTTATAGTAAATAATGTACATTTTGTAACAATCTTTTGAAAGGCTTCTAAATACACTTTGATGCAATTTTTGCTATTGATAAACAATCTCGTATGTTCGGAATTATTCGTAAAGGAAGTCTTAATTTGATTGTAGAAAATCAAATGATCTCATCATCAAGTTATATGTTTAAAGAACCAGTATATGAACAAAATATTTAGTTTAGATAACAAAAGAGGCTTCCTGAAAGACAAAGATTATACAACAGACACGCCAGTGAGTAGCAGCTTTCATTAAAGAATTAGACTCGATAGGACAAAACAATTAATTAAACTGCATCATAAAGCCATTTCGTCCTTCCAGGACTCGTCAATGATGCTAATGGCCTATATTTGGAAGTCTAGGAGGAAAATCCAAAGTGATCTACAGTCAAAATCTAGACGAGGAGGTTCACGTGCCAATATTTAAATCAATGTCGTAATTTTCATATATCAGATGATTTTAGAACAACGGCAAGTACACGTGTTTTTATTCTGAACTGTGCCACTATTCGAATGAGTTAAAACGTTGCATGTAGGTTACGGGGGACAAACCTTGGGGAGTTAAAGCCAAACAGCAGTGTCTACCACCTATTATCTCAAAGACTCTACAAAAGACACGCAAGTGAAAAGCACCTTTCAATTCAACTGAAGAAACACCTACAGTGACATGAAAGTGAAATTCTGCTTGATAATTAATTACGCTGATTGTTTCTTTTGACGTTTGCAGTCACCCTTTTAAAAGATACATATACGCCTCAAACTCTTCCTAGAATTTCCATTCAATTTTTTTTTACAATAGATTGAAAATTTATAACTCATATATTACTCATCTCTTTCGCTTACCCCTCTCATTCCTCAGTTTCACAGAAACCAGAATTTTGATTAGAACCTTAGGAGCTAACATCTATGGTTAAGGTGTGCCGCTGTGCTATTGTTTCTGTTGGTAAAATATAATGAAGGTATTTTTCGGAACATTCTATTCAGGTTGGTGTTGTCAATAGAATAGAAGTTCTTATAACACAACTAATCGAAGATTCATCAGACAAATGACTAGCGTGGCGGGTTCCGAAAGTCACCTGGGTCAGTACTGAAAAGGTACATAGGTTCAAGTTATAGCCGAAAAGGTTTGTCGATTTCTTTCCATCTCGTACACCTGTCATTTGTCTGATAGAGATGACAGTGCAGTCATCGAAACATCACACTCTAATCCTCTACTAGTTGTGTTATAAGACTTCAATTCAAGTTATAAATGAACAATGTTATACATTTAAGGCTTTATAATCATATTTTTTTTTTATTTAGAAAATACAAAGAGATTGTACCGTTTGAGAAATCCAAACACATAAACATATTATAGACGAACCTCGATATCTCGAATATATCGCTAGAAGACTCGGATGAATTCGAATCATCTTGTCGGTCCCTGATTCATTTTACACAAAACATTCGAACTCACGTAAATAGGAAATTCTGTTATCTCGAAGTTTCCCTGTCGAGTTCGTGATAACGATGGTTGACTGATCATACAGAAACACCTTCAATTTCAAATTAATGATAAAAATAGTTTGATTATGACATTACGATGTTAACACTGATATTATATAGTAATGTATAAAATTTGTGTCTGTTTGCAATGTGTCATTTTCCAAAAAATGTACTCAGGTAAAATTTTAAAAAAAAAAGAAAAGGAAAGGGTCCTTTTGAATGATGAACAATTTCTCGTTTGGATAATGGATTCAAATCTCTGTTTTCCAGCAATAAACATGATCAAAGATGTATTGATGGTCATATACTTTACTAAATAACATTTGTTTGTCGTAGGACAATGAACGACATGAGATAAAAAATATAAAACGTTATCTTAAAAAGCCACTGTAATTTTTATTTTAAAAAATAGCATGACGTTATTAATCACTTTGCCGTTTAAGATCCACATAATACTTGTGTTGGGTTTGATCGAAGGGAAATAACTCTTACCACACTATCCACATTGCATTACTACCGATCAGCTTGTGTCTTTCAAAGTTTTCCTCATTCAAATAACTACAGTATTTCAACGACGAGGAAATATTATATATCAATGTGTTTGGAGGAAATTGAAGTCAGACAACGAATGAAGAATGACAAAGAAA